AGCAGAGAGCCAAAGGGAAATTGACTTTCAATTAAAATCTGGAAAAATCTCACTTTCGTGCCTCAAAAGAATCAAAAATAGCAATGGGTCATTGTTTATGCTTGGCTGTTTCAGTTCAGAATGGATCCATCCCAAATGATCCTCTATAAGATGTGAATAAGCATTATAAACTCTGTATAATAAAGCTGCATCCATCAGCCATATTTTCTTTCTTAACCTCATCATGCTTTAGACTTCAGACTTCCTATCGTATGCTATCATGCAATCACACAGTAGTTTCTCCAGCCTCATCAATCTCAGCAGAGAAATGTTTAATGTAATGTTAGCGAGACCTCTAAAAATATTTCTCAATCTAACAGGCACAAGGGAGAAAGATTACTATGTAAACTCCATATTCATGGTGTACTCATGGAAATGTAATGTGTATATATCTCTTTCTCTGGTCTATGCGGAGCTGAATCACACTTATGCCTTGATCATTGCAGCAAACATCGTTAAATTAAGTGATTGAAACAAAAATAGCATTGTGCTGTTTCTGGTCTTTGTTCCTTTTCATAAACAAAGGGCCTGTTCACATGAAATCTCTGGTGATTTTTCTCTCCCTCTTGAAAAGGTCTGAAATGCAAATTGTCTGCTCTTGGTCCTGATAAAGTTATCAAAAAGGGCAAGGGCTCCAGTCCAAAGAACATGAAAATAACTAGCCCCAAATTAAAACAAATAAGCATTTATTATATCAGTTATTTAAGTTGGTTATAAATCTGAAGACTGGAATATCTTCATTTTTGTCTTAAGTCTAATACCAGTCTGGCCATGGAATGAGTTGGGGTAGAATTACCATTTAATGAAGGATAAAGTTTAGGGTTATTCTCATTGGGATGGAGCAGTTGACTTCTACTGAGTATAACCACTGGTCCTGCTTGGTGCATATTGTTTTTATTAAATGGAAGCAATTCCACTTCCAAGTTTCCCCTGAATATATTGGAGATAGACTCAGGGGCCTTCTGGATGTGAAGAACAAACTTGACTCCTAAGTGATGACATTCTATACATTCTATGGTCCACCAGCTTTTTTCTGTAATTAAAACAGCAGGAAGCTGTTTTCCTGCAAACAACTGTTTATACATATAGATTTTCTAGACTGCCTATGGACTCACATGGGGGCCCACAGGCATTCTTAGGAAATAATAATGGTGGCTGACTGAAGAGGTTACAAGAAAAAGGCAAAACTGACATGAGATTACAGACTGCATTTTGAAGATAGGGGAAGGAGAAATTATTAGATGGGATGGCAGGAAGTACCATCACTAATCTGCCATTAGATACATGGGGGTGTTTTGTGATGGAACATATCAATGAATGTGAGTAGGTAAGTGCTTTTTTGGCAGCCATTTTGTGAAAGTGCTCACCCCAAGCGCTGAAAACTGCAAATATGCTCACCAAACACAACATCTCACCTGACTTTTACTGCATTCAAATATACCTCGTTGGCTTAATAATTTTGCTTCTGTGCAACTAAGATCAGGAATCACTTTTTCCTTCAATAAGGCAAAACAGTTCTATTGAAGTAAACTATCCATTATGAGGTAGGTAGTGCAATCTATAGTGAAGCCGGTTATGCGGGTTCTAATGAATCCTCCAAACAGAGACAGCTAGACCATCCTAAATGAAATGGTGTGGTACTTAGGCTCATATCACCTTAGTCAACAAACAGACATATTATCCTCTATCGTACCTTTACTACATGGTTAGACTTGGCCTGAGCTCATTTGTTTTAGCTCATCTGGTAGCCTAGAACAGGTGCCTTACTTTTAAACACTGGAAAGTTGCACCAAGCACAGGAAGAACATCAAATATTTCTCTTTAACTGTTGACAGCTAGATATCTGATGCACAAATGCACCCATTTTATTCTTTTCAGTAGCCTTTTAATCATTCCAAAACTCTTTAGAAAAAAAAATCTGCCTCTTCCTTAAGATGGACTGTAAAAGCTGGAGAAAACAGAGACTTGTGCAAACATAAAGGAATATTTTTGCACTGGAATTTACTAGTGTTACTAGTGCTACTACTAGCAGCAGTCATTAGAGGGAGATTCAAATAAAATTTGGGATATTTTAATATGTTAAGAGTAGAATAATCTAATTTTAAAATTTCGTACTGCACCAGAAACTGACTACTGCTGATCAATATCTTATTGCAAGGTGCACAGAACATTCATTAAATCTGCCTCTGAAGCAGCTTACTTCCTTGTATTCTATATAACAAAGTAGTAGCTGATCACTAAATGGTAGGAATTATAACAAAATTATAAAGAAAACATGTTTCTTCAGATATGAAAATGAGAGTAATTAAAGAAACCCAGGATAAAGTGGGCATCTACAGTCATTCTTAGATACTATCTGTTTCATAGGTCAACGTCCACTGATAATTGGGTGTTGGTTGTGATTCTCTTTTGGTTGCTTTTCATTTCTAGAATTGGGTTTAGCTTATGATGGCATTTGTATACAGGGAATAGGATTTACTTTATCACCTTGGAATCTCCAGATCTCTTTATCCTGGATATGACAGAAGCCTCCTCAACTCCTTAATGCCTTCCCTGCCAATTAAGTATTAAACATTTGCTTCTATTGTATTGAATAAACAACCAGGTACTGTAATCCAACTCTATTAAACAAATTACAGATGGGCTCTTGGAGCTTGATGAAAAGCACAAACAAACTGTTGACTTTAAGGCTCATGCATGCAAGCTGGCCAATTGTTTTCTGCACATAACCCTTTTCATGTATAGAACCATTTGTTGATGTCCTAACATGAACTGGGCTGCATAGAAGGGCTAGCCCAGTCATAACCAGTACAAAAGAGCTGCTTGGCTTATATCATATACAGTACAGTTCACTTCATACTGCACATAATTCCACATGTGAGAAGAAATAGACCAATGATAACAGATGGCCACAGATCTTTTTTTTTTTTTTTTTTTACACACAAGGGTCACATATGATTTTAGAGCCTTCATGAAAACCAATTGGTTCTCTGGATTATAGGCACCCAATAAGCAGGGACATTGTTCAGCAATTGGAAGTATGCAGCATACTGCTTCATAAGCATTGTTATATCGTCCCTGTGTTACAGAATCATACATGTACTTCTTTACTCATGAAGAAGTTGCATTATTCTTGGTGATGACTTTGTGATAAGCATTTGCAACCTGAGAAGAATGCGTAGGTATGTGCAAAGGGTAAAATAGTAAAGAGGCAGTCATTTGCATGGATTGTGGCCAGCCTGGAGCAATGGAAGTCTTCAAATTAAATTAAAGGATTAAAAAAAAATCCACAGGAAAGAACAGAGGCAAAAATGAAAACTTTACCCATCTGGATGGATTTTCAAGTTCCACAACGAAATAACTGAAAAGTTGTACTATCTCTTTGTCATCTCTTAGAAATTAGCATTTGGCACTGGTAAAGCCACACACACACAAAGGAAAGTTATACTTCTTTTGTGTTCTTTCAATAGCATCTGCATGCATGGCTATGAGATGGAAAGAGAAGAGTCCTCACCGCATGGAGCAATAAATTAGATTTTCCACAAAAGTAAACAAATAAATGGTACTGCAAGACCATCATAAGCTCATCCTTTTAAACAGATTCTTACCCCTAAAGTTTAGCATGAACTGCTGTATAAATGATTATTTTTTTCTCGATATATACCAATCAGAAATGTCCCACCCCCAACACTTAGGCTGAATATTGCACATGGCTTGCAATTTACATTGATTTCACCAGCCAAAATAATTGGTGTGTTTTTTTTCTTAAAATTACATTTTTTTCCACAGAATAGGTCAATGATATTCCATGGATAGAGGTAGATTATGGGGTTGAACTAATCAGATCAAAGCCCTGTATGTTTGTGTGCTCTTTGAGGAGTCTCATAAAACTGAGATAGTCCCATAACTGACCACTAGCCATGGAATATTATAACATATTCCATGATGACTAGTATTTTTATTCCCCAACCTCTATGTTGAACCAATGTGAAAAATAGTTTAGTCCGAATGGAATTATTTTCTTATTGCTTTCATTTATCTCTATGGTTTGTTTGTTTTTTTTTTAAAAAAAGATACCCTGTGAGATTATCGCTCAAGGCTCTTCAGAAGAAATCTGCCCCCAATGGCCACCATGCTCCCCTTTTTCCATCAGCCTTTTAATAGTAGATGGTTGAAGAAGCTGTTGATTGTAGACTAAGTTTTCAGACTAAGAAAGCATTGATGAGCCTTGTGTTTTGAATGCTAAGTGCTAAGCTTCTGTATGATCCTACTGAGTTGGAATTGCCTGCCACAGAATAAAATCCTTATGTTTAGCTTTGTTCCTTTCTGAACCTCATCACATGTCTTTAAGAAATCTAAGCTGCCATTCTAATAAATAAATAAGTAAACCACTTGAGGGGGAAAGTGTTTTTCTTATGGATCTGCATGTAGATGTAAGTTACTGTTCGCTTTGTTCTTCTAATCCCCCAAATCCATGGTTTTCTGCAACTTTAGACATAGCTAAGTATAAAAGGAAAGTAGGGGAAAATGTATTGTTATGTTTGTGTTTTCTTTCTGGGGCAAAAGCTGTGCCCTTGACTGCTAATATGCTAGGCAGCAGACAATCTTTGTGAACCATCTTGAAATAAAAAATGTAGTCTGTCAGTGAAAATAATAGAACTCTGAAAATATTCCTCAATCTAGTTATTCCTTCGGAGCCTTTAAGTATCCCGTTAAACAGGACTGATCTGAGGGCTCCTAACAAACCTGTGCAGTGCTAAATTTTGTTCATCAGCTTCTCCTGTTTGTCACCTGTCCCTGCAACCTGTACGTCCCACACATGATTCCATTTGTGGTAGTGGGACAATAATGGGATAACGTGCTATCCATTGGGCTAAGAATGCAGTCTGACTGAATCTTTCAAGCTCTAGAAAGGATGGAGATTAAAAGTCAGATGGACATTCCTCTAAGAGGTTTCCTACCTGCTCTGTTAATTTCTAACATTTCTTCTTGGGCGAGTGGGCATGTGTCGCTCTGAGTACTGTGGTGTGGAGAGTTTATGACAGATTTACAATAATTGGGGGATCCCAGCTGGGGCGGCCGCGGGATATGCTTCTTTTTTTTCTTTGGTAGCTTCTGCTTAGCCATAGCTAAGGAGTAATACATTCCAAAATTGTTCACAATGACGGGTACAGGCATGGCAATGGTCAGCACGCCTGCGAGAGCACAGAGGGCCCCCACCAGCATGCCTGACCAAGTCTGAGGATACATGTCTCCGTAGCCCAGGGTAGTCATGGTGACAACAGCCCACCAGAAGCCAATGGGGATATTTTTAAAATGTGTGTGTTCGCTGGCACTAGGATCGTTGGGTTTAGCACCTATTCTCTCAGCGTAGTAGATCATCGTGGCAAAGATTAAGACGCCCAGTGCCAAGAAGATGATGAGCAGCAAGAATTCGTTTGTGCTGGCACGGAGTGTATGACCCAAAACCCGCAGTCCTACGAAATGGCGAGTCAGCTTGAAAATTCGCAGAATTCGCACAAACCGGACCACCCTCAAGAAGCCCAAGACGTCCTTAGCGGCTTTGGAAGACAGGCCACTGAGTCCAACCTCCAGGTAAAAAGGGAGAATGGCCACGAAGTCAATGATATTCAAGGTGTTTTTGATAAATTCCATCTTGTTGGGGCAGAAAATGACCCTCATCAGAAACTCAAAAGTAAACCAAATCACGCAGACCCCTTCAATGTAGGTCAGGAAAGCCTCCGTCTCAGTCTCCTGATAGACCCGCACCTGGGTGTCATTGCCAACAATTTCCTTCTCTGTCTTGTTAACGATAGGATTAAATCTCTCATGGGTCTCGAGGCAAAAGGTGGTGATGGAAACCAGAATGAAGAAGAGGGAAGCAAATGCGATGTACTGTAGAAAGAAAAAAAAAAGAAGAAGAAGAAAATAGTTAGAGAATTAAGTTTCTTTGGGAAGGATAGAAAGACCACCAAGCATACAGAGATCCATTTGTGACTCATTAAAGAAAATAAGGCTGGCACAAACACCTAAATGCAGATTCTTGGTACTCATGCAGTAAAGTAATCAGGTCTGGCCTAGTTAATTTATGAGCAAAGAGAAGGCTCATGTACAATTCAGGACCCATCTCGGGAATCTTCGTCTCATTCTATTGTATGGAATTTGTTTTGCGAGTTCTCTCTTTTTTTTTTAAAAAAAAAAATTAGTATGTTTACATTTTGCTTCAAAGAGGAAAGTGGATGTTGTTTCGGCTACTCAACATTCTGGAATCATAAAAAAGAAGCATTATATTAAATGCAGGAAAGTGTTTGGCCAAAATATATGATATGGCATGATTACTTTTAGATGACAAGAGTCAGGCCAATTGTTCATTTAATATAGTGGAAAATTCTCAATGTTTATCACTGTATCTCATGACAGCTGATGCTACTACAGTTAGTAAGTTTTAGCACTGAGGGGGAAAAAGATATTAAAAGTTGCATTATTTTAGGTCATAGCCTTGTTTTAGCTTGGAGATCAGAGCATTTTATTTGTTGCAAGCCTCCTTGAATATCTGCATTAAAAGCAAAACTGGTCATGAATTCAAATAAAAGAAATGCAGCAATGAATAAGAAGGTAGGCATTTTTTTTTTTAAAAAAAGGGGAGGTGGTAATCATAGGTATAACTAGAAGAAAAGTCTGATAATTAAATGATACCAGAAATCATGATCAAAGTTTTCAGAATAGAGGGAAGATCTGTACATTTGCAAAATTTGTTTGGAACAAGGTGCTGAATGCTTTATGATATGTGTGTGTGTATGGGTATCTATTTCTATATCTGTCTCAGTCTCTATCTCTATCTCTATCCTCTATCCATATCCATATCTATAATCTAATTACAGAATAGTGGAAGAAACATCTAGTGAAAATGGGTGACACTTGCATTCTCTGAATTGCCCTTATGCTGTAAGAAAGCAGTGAAAACATCCTGACATTTCAAATTGGATGTTTCATATATATTCTTTTCTTTTCTTTTCTTTTGAACAGAGCTGCTAGTATACTTTAGATTAAATATTATATTGTTTAATGTTGTAACACCAGGAAAGTAGTACTTCACATGCTTAAAATCCCAGTTGTTCAGTCCATTATCCCTCCCTCCCCCCACATATGCTGTTTCATACACATGACCTGGTGCTGACATGAAGGCCTGATACTGCAAAGCCCTTGTTCCAAGAAACTCAGCTAAAACATCCAGTCAAAGTCACAGGGTTTTATAAACAGAAAATCAGGAATGCATAATTTATTACTGTACAACACTTGAAACTTACTAATGTCTGGTGACTATTTAAATAAATATTTAAATTATTGTTAATTAATTATAATTAAGTAATTATATATATATATATATATATATTATATATATATATATATATATAATATATAATAATAATTAATTAATTACATAATTATTAAATTATTAAATTATTAAATTATTAAATTATTATTTGCATACCAAGCAAATAGTTCAACAGATGATGCTGTTAATATGGCTCTGCACTACATCCTACAACATCTTGAATCTCCAAAGACCTACGCAAGGATCCTCTTTGTAGACTTTAGTTCAGCATTCAACACCATCATTCCAGACATTCTTCTAACTAAGTTAAACCAGCTAGCACTACCTGAACACACTTGTAAGTGGATCATAAGCTTCCTAACAGACAGGAAGCAGCAGGTGAAGCTAAGCAGAATCACATCAGATACCTGTACAATTAGCACAGGGCCCCCACAAGGCTGTGTGCTCTTCCCCACTTCTCTTCTCTCTGTATACCAATTACTGCATCTCAAACGATCCATCTTTTAAACTACTGAACTTCGCAGATGACACAACAGTGATCAGTCTCATTCAAGACAATGATGAATCTGCATACAGACGGGTGGTTGAACAAATAGCCTTGTGGTGCAACCAGAACAATCTGGAACTGAACACACTCAAAACCATAGAATGGTGGTGGACTTTAGGAGAAACCCTCCCATACTATCACCTCTTAGAATATTAGACAACACAGTATCAACAGTAGAGACCTTCAAATTTCTAGATTCTACCATATCTCAAGACCTAAAATGGACACCTAACATGCTGGACATAAACTGTTTCAACTGCTACCCTCAAAACGAAGCTATAGAGCACTATAGCACTATAGAACAGTTTTTTCCTAAATGCTATCACTCTGCTAAACAAATAATTCCCTCAACACTGTCAAACTAGTTACTAAATCTGCATTACTATTAATCTTCCCATTGTTCCTATCACCCATCTCCTCTCACTTATGACTGTATGACTGTAACCTTGTTGCTTGTATCCTTACAATTTATATTGACTGTTTCCTAGTATGATTTGACTGCTTATTTGTTCCCTATGACTATCATTAAGTGTTGTACCTTATGATTCTTGACGAATGTATCTTTTCTTTTATGTACACTGAGAGCGTATGCACCAAGACAAATTCCTTGTGTGTCCAATCACACTTGGCCAATAAAGAATTCTCTTTTAGTCTATTAAAGTTCATGAATAGATATTTATTAAGAATATCTCCAGTTATATGCTTGTTGTTTTCATTTTTCCTATTTTACTGATCTCAGAAGTTGGAAAAGACTTAAGTGTTTTGGGATGACAGCACCATGCTTTTAGATAGTTCCAAATAGTGCACTATCATGACTGTATTCAGAAATCACTTTGTCTATTCAGGTTATTGCACGGTTAATCCTGAAGGTGATAACGTTCTGTCAAGGACAGCCAAATTTAAAATAAATATTGATTGTTTTACAACTGTCATTTTCAATGTAACCATTAGTTGCAAGAAGAATATTGCTTCTATTTCACTCCAGTGCTGCTACCACTTGTGCGAGAATGCCATATTAATGTAAAAAATGGGAACACAGGTTTATTCATATGCATTACAAGAATGCCTTAGGCATGCCTACCAAGTTATAGTCTCTGAAATGAAAATTAAGATAGATATCTTAAAAGGTAAAACACAAATATTCTGAATTAAAGATTGTCAGTTCAACTAAATATCAATCCCCCCTCCAAAAAGAGTCAGAGATTGTACTAAAACATCATAGGCTTAAAAATGAAACTAACATATGCTTAATCTAGATTCAGGCTGTTTCTATTATTTGTTTAGTGTGTGAAACAGTAACTTTGGATTGCTTGTTTTGTAACACAGCAGGACCACAAACCAGGAAATAAAATATGGCTTATGATTCTATGAGCCATTCTGGTTCCCATTTAATATGAAATGAGCCAAAGGAGTCAAGTGGGAGCAATCAAGCAGTTGACACTGGGCATTTTTATTTATTGTGACATTCAAATGTGTAAGATTTTGAGAAGCAGTCCTTGTTTCTAGCTTCATTGACTCTTGCTAGACCATAGTGCTGGACAGCGCTTCAGCTATGAAAGTAAGAAGATGTTTCAGAGCATATAGGAGTGCACTCAAAACATCTGTCTGTAACTCCTTAAAAAAACTCCTTAAAAAGCAGCTTCCTAGAGCTGTCCAGCTACCTCCATGCACTCCAAAACACCTGTTTCTCTGAGTTCAACAGCACTATCAGATACCACTGGAATACATCACTATTTATTTATTTATTTATTTATTTATTTATTTATTTATTTATTTATTAGTTCGATTTATATATGCTGCCCTTCTCCGGAGACTCAGGGCGGCTTACAATGCATTAAGCAATAGCCTTCATACTTTTGTATATACCTGCTTAGTAGGGCTTTTTGGCGCCCCCCCCAAGCGGTGTTCTATTTTATACAAAGTCAGCTCATTGCCCCCACAAACCGGGTCCTCATTTTACCTACCTCGAAAGGATAGAAGGCTGAGTCAACCTTGAGCCTGGTGAGAATTGAACTCGCAGTAATTGGCAGGCAGCTGGCAGCTAAGTGCTACTTTAACAGCAGCAGTTTAGTCCACTGTGCCACCAAGGCTCTTTCCACCTTATATAGCATAGAGTTGCTCTTTTACAACATCATCATCAGTCAGAACATCATCATTTCAAAATTCACATAGTTGAACAACATCATCATCATCTTCATTCTTCTGTTTCAGAAAAGAATGTGTTAAACACATTCTTATCATAGATAAGAAACCAACATAGAGCCAAAGTTTTCTAAATAGGATAAATAATTATTCAGGCTTAACTAATCATCCAAATTCCATATCTCCGATGCTTCCTAACCAGATAATGCATGGACAGTAATAAGAGAAGAGCTATCATGGCAAGATATTTTGTTGTTACAAAAAATATTGTTTGTCTAATGTGCTGGTCATAAGATGTTGTGGCTGACAAAGGCTTCCCTCCCCTCCCAAGTTGACCCATTGTGAAAGCTAGTTGGCATGTAGTTGCTATGGACACCAAGGCAAGTTCACTGAATGTCACCAATGATTAAATATCAGTATTGGACATCACTATATCCAAACGTTTTTTGCATCTTTTCTAGCTATCAGCTGTGAGTTCTTGGAGAACTGCTCAGTCATGGGTAAATTAAGTGTGGAGGAAAAGGCCTTGACATCATTCTCTTCATTTTAGAGTTCTGTAGTAAGCCATTTTTTGCCATTAACATGCTATCTGGCAGTACTTCAGTATAAACCTGAGAGGCACTCAAGATTTACACAAACGTGAAAATATGTTTGGGAATGCTAGCAGATCATCTCTTTGTCATTTGTTTCTTTCAGGTTCTCTTCCAGCTGTTTTGCTTCAGAAAATTTATTTGCTTCAGAAATTTATTTCAAAGGACGAGAGAATTGCTGAGAAATACTCCTGGGTGGAGCATGTTGTTTCTATACTTAGTAGCAAAATGACTAATTGGTCTATGGGATCACGAAGTGTGGGACACGACTTAGAGACTGAACAATAACAACAACAAGAAGATGACTAAAGTGTCTGTGTGAATTTCCTACCTTTCTTTGTAAATAAACTCTCAAGTGCATATCTTAGGAGGGAAGCCTCTCATTGGGCCCTTTTTAAATTGGGGCGTTTTAAGTAATGGGAGCTCACCCCATTACACAGCACTAGGGATTCGAACAGCTGAACTGCCAACCTTTCAATTGACAAGCTCAGCATCTTAGCCACTGAGCCACCATGTCCCCAAGCATTAATATAAGCAAAAACAAGCAGTAGCTACCAATCAAGCTTTTTGTTCACCAAGAACCAGCACAAATAGAAGTCTTGTATATGGTGATAAACTTGAGGAACCTAAGAAACCTTTCTGCTGACTTATTATTATTATTATTAATATTTATTATTTATTAATTTTTTATACCGCCCTTCTCCCGAAGGACTCAGGGCAGTGTACAGCCAAAAATAAAACCCACAACTATATGAAAGTTAAAAGAAAATTTAAAAATATTAAATAATTTGGCCGAAAGAGCTAAAGTAGAAACCACCCATTAAAATAGCATTTAGGCCAGCCCTGCTTGGTGAAACAATAGTGTTTTGAGGGCGTGGCGAAAGGTGCGAAGGTCGGGGATCCTACGAATCTCCAGGGGCAGCTCATTCCAGAGGGTAGGTGCCCCCACAAAGAAGGCTCTCCCCCTGGGGGTCGCCAGTCGACATTGTTTGACCGATGGCACCCTAAGGAGTCCCTCTCTGTGGGAGCGTACTGGTCGATGGGAGGCTATCGGTGGCAGAAGGTGGTCTCGTAAGCACCGGGTCCTAAGCCATGGAGCACTTTAAAGATGGCAACTAACACCTTGAATCACACCCGGAAGACCACTGGGAGCCAGTGCAGCTTGTGCAGGAGCAGTGTTACAAGGGAGCGTTGAGTCACTCCCATAATCACCCGCGTGGCTGCATTCTGGACCAGCTGGAGCCTCCGGGTGCTCTTCAAGGGGAGCCCCATGTAGAGAGCATTATAGTAGTCCAGACGGGAGGTGACGACGGCATGAGTGACTGTGCGCAAGGAGTCCCGGTCCAGAAAGGGACGCAACTGGTAGATCAGGCAAACCTGATAAAAAGCTCCCTGGCCACAGCCGACCTTCAGATGGTCTTCTAGGCCAGCTGCGAGTCCAGGAGGACACCCAAGTTGCGAACCTTCTCTGAGGGGGTCAAGGTCTCACCCCCAATAGTCTGCTATGGGACTAGCTGACTATGATGGGACACCGAAAACCACAGCCACTCGGTCTTGGAGGGGTTGAATCTGAGTTTGTTTCTCCCCATCCAGATCCGTATGGCTTCCAGGCACTGGGTCATCACGTCAAGGGCATCATTGGGATAGCCCAGGGTGGAAATGTACAGCTGAATATCATCAGTGTACTGATGGAAATCCACCCCAAAGCCACAGATGATCTCGCCCAGTGGTTTCACATAAATGTTGAACAGGAGGGGTGAGAGGAACCTATTAAGGTCCATCAGGCACCTGGGATGGAACCATCTAGTCGGTTCCGTCTCCCTGCGGTAAGGGGTAGTGGTTCAAAAGTCCATACGAAGGAGAGAATGATCAGACCACGACAAGGGTTCGGCGATTAAATCCCCTATTTCTAGATCATTCTGCCACTGACCAGAGACAAAAATCAGATCCAGACTTCCTCTTCCATGGATGCCCAGCACCTAATTTAAAGACTGCATTGGTTGTGTCTGAAATCAGTTGGTGCTTGAATGTGCGAGAGTTGATATTTTGTACAGAGACAACTGTTGAAAAATGAACAGGTCTGAGATAATGTGATTACGTGGTGTTGTTGGAAATATAAGTGAATAAATGTGAGCGCACGTGCCACATATTTAAAACCAATCTTTAGTCAAAACTTGTTGTGCTCACCTATGTCCTTGGGTTGCAAATAGATTTTTCAAAATGATCTCAACCTTGTATTCCTTAACCTCACGGTTGATTTTCTCCACAACTTCTCATTCAGGATCACCTTCTTTGATCTTTATAGCCAAACACGATTAACCAGTGGCAGATTATATAACAGATATGACTCTGTCTACAGTTAAATTATCATTTTCATTAAAATATCCCAAAGCAATGAATGTCTTTTTCTACTAAGTGAGGTGCTGGGCACATTTGCCAAAAGACTCTGATGCCAGTAGGGCCACTTGCTGTCTCTTCTTTTAAAAATCAAGCTGCAACACGGATTTTAGGCTCAGATTTTCAAAACCAGCTATAGGCAAGCAGGGAAGATTTTGCTTCCCTGGATAAATAATGCAAAATGTAATGTTTTGAAAGGAGAGTTGATATGCATGCATAATCTCCAATTACAGCTGGCAGCAAATTGTAATGCAGATAGTTCAATTGGGCTATTTTAAGAGAAGTGAAAAGCGAGGCTCTCACTTCCCTTGTCAAGGAAGCATCTCACTCCTATCACCTTCTAACTGAAAGAGCAAGTAATGACAGTGCCTCATCTTCTGCTGACCTTTCTTTGGGATTCTCACAATGGTCCTCATTAAGGAAGATTTGGTAACTCACGAGTTGTAGCATCCTGCTTTAGGTTTTTAAAAGATGCATCCCAAAGACCCAGAGATGTGATGACTGCTGAGCAGCTGGTGACCTCTGAGGGAGCCAAATGCCTTCTGCTCTCTGATGATTTTCCCAGATCAGGAGCGGAGGGCAAAACATGCAGAAAGGAAGGGAAGCAAATACTGTCCTTTCTTTTTGCCTTGTTTATTTGGATCCCAGCAGGAGTGTTCTGATCTAGGCATAAATATATTGGATGTGATATCCTTAAAGAGGGTATTTTTTTGGGGGGGCGGGTTTTTGATAAAGAGGTTGGGACTCTGCCCATCTGCCTACCAACCAGGGGTGAAATCTACTTACCTTCCTTACCGGTTCGGAAGTGCATGTGCCGTGTGCGTGCACTTGCTTCGTGCGTGCTCACAGACCTCCTGCACATGCACCAAACACATTACTTCACTTCCTGGTTACAATCAGGAAGTAATGACACCCGGCTGGGTGGGCGGAGCTATGCTCCGCCGTCGCTACCAGATAGCTGAACCACCAGCCAAGATTTCTACCGGATTGGGCGATCTGGTCCGATCCGGGAGCATTTCACCCCTGCTACCAACAGCAGATAAACTTCCCAAAAACAACAGAGCAGGACCAAATTGGAGACTGAAAAAACAGTCAGCAAAAAAAAAAAAAAAGATTTCAAACTATGCACTGTAGATAGAGGGGAAAAATCCCTACTGCATTCTTTATGGGAGAGGCAATTGGGCAGTGGCTCAGAATGCTGCAGACTTCTTCATTCTTTTTTTAAAAAAAGTTTTATTGTTTTAAAATTACACATTATGACAAACACATCACATACAACATATAAATATATCCTCTTTTTTACAAATGTTTCTTCGTGGTCTGCTTTCCACTGTGACTTCCCCAACCCATGTCTCTCATATTGTTTCATTTTCTTCATTGTCCCCTTTTTGATTGATTACAATGTATTTTCTAATCCTAATAGCCTTAATCTTATACATTTCGCCTGAAAAACCCATTAATGCTTAACTTTTTCCCTTAAAACAACTTTTTTCCCTTAAAACAATTAGCTAAGATATATATACAGTATATATATATATATATTTGTTACTTACATATTTTACATTTTATCTTCTCCCCCTATTTGTGTTGTTCTTTATTTCTGCTCTTGAGACATTCATACATAATAAAATATACAAAAGTATAAAGGCTATTGCTTAACACGTTGTAAGCTGCCCTGAGTCTCCGGAGAAGGGCGGCATATAAAAATAAAATAAAATAAAATAAAATACCATTTGTCTCTTCCTTTTCTTTAATTTCTTTTGTTAACTTGTCCATCTCAGCACATTCTAAAACTTTTTTTTATCACTTCTTCATCTGTTGGTGTTTCTTCCTGTTTCCATTTTTGTGCATATGTTATTTGAGCCGCTGTTATGATGTGTAAAATCAGATATTTTATTTCTTTGGTATATGTTCTTGTAAATATTCCTAGTAGAAATGTTTCCGGTTTTCTTTCTATTGGTTGATCTGTTATTTTTTCTAACCATTTCTTTATATTTGTCCAGAATTTTTTCACCGCCGGGCATGTCCACCATAGATGGTAATAGGTTCCATGAATTTTCTTAGCCTTCCAACATGTTGGGTCATTATTTGGGAACATCTTTGCAATTCTTGTCGGTGGTAAATGCCATCTATAAAACATCTTCAAAGAGCCTTGGTAGTACAGTGGTCTAAGGCACCCTGTTATTAAGCTGGTTATTAAGACCAGCTGCCTGCAATTACTGCAGGTTCGAATCTCGCCAAGGCTCAAGGTTGACTCAGCCTTCCATCCTTTCTAAGGTAGGTAAATTGAGGACCCAGTTGTGGGGGCAATAAGCTGACTTTGTATAAATATACAAAAGGATGAAGGCTATTGCTGAGCACATTGTAAGCCGCCCTGAGTCTCCGGAGAAGGGCGGCATATAAATCAAATTAAAAAACAAAACAAAACTGGTTTTCCTTGTATGCCGCTGATAAAGTTAATTTTGAATTTACTTGCCATGTTGTTTGAGTATTAATTTCCAAATCTTTTTCTTGTATGTTAGTAAGGTTTTTGGTTATTAGTTTTGATTAGTTTTTATTGATCTTAAGTCCCGCTACTTCTCCAAATTCTTCTAATTTCTTAATTAATTTTGGTCCTGATTCTAGCGGTTCTTCTACTATGAACACCATGTCATCGGCAAAGGCCTGAACCTTGTATTCTTCATTCTTTATTCTTAGACCTCTTATTTCTTGATCCTGTTTAACCTTTTTCAGGAGCATCTCCAACGTTAATATATACAAAAGTGGAGAGAGGGGCATTTCTGTCTTACCCCTTTTATTATACTAAATTGTTCTGTTGTATTGTCATTCATGATTACTCTTGCTGTTTGTTTTGTACAAATTTTCCCTATCATTTTTTCAAATTTTATTCCAAATTGCATAAATTTTAGTTGTTCGACTTCGTCATTCTTTTTATTATTATTTTTATTTATTATTTTGTCAAACA